TCATCTATCATTACTCTACATTTGTCTATCATTACACTACATTCATCTATCATTACTCTACATTTGTCTATCATTACACTACATTCATCTATCATTACTCTACATTTGTCTATCATTACACTACATTCATCTATCGTTACACTACATTCATCTATCGATACGCTATATTCATCTATCATTACACTACTTTCATCTGTCGTTACTCTACATTCGTCAATCATTACTCTACATTCATCTATCGTTACTCTACATTCATCTATCATTACACTACATTCATCTGTTGTTACACTACATTCTTCTATCGTTACACTACATTCTTCTATCGTTACACTACATTTATCTATCGTTACTCTACATTTATCTATTGTTACTCTACATTCATCTGTCAATACAACTACATTCATCTGTTGTTACACTACATTTATCTATCATTACTCTACATTCCTCTGTCGATACAACTACATTCGTCTGTCGTTACACTACATTCGTCTGTCGTTACACTACATTCGTCTGTCGTTACACTACATTCGTCTATCGTTACACTACATTCGTCTATCGTTACTCTACATTCGTCTTTCATTACACTACATCTATCTATTGTTACTCTACATTTATCTATTGTTACTCTACATTCGTCTGTCGATACAACTACATTCGTCTGTCGATACAACTACATTCGTCTGTCGATACAACTACATTCGTCTGTCGATACAACTACATTCGTCTGACGTTACACTACATTCGTCTGACGTTACACTACATTCGTGTGACGTTACACTACATTCGTGTGACGTTACTCTACATTCGTCTATCGTTACTCTACATTCGTCTATCGTTACACTACATTCGTCTATCGTTACACTACATTCGTCTTTCATTACACTACATTCGTCTGTCATTACACTACATTCGTCTATTGTTACACTACATTCATCTATCATTACTCTACATTCGTCTGTCGTTACACTACATTCGTCTGTTGTTACACTACATTCATCTGTCGATACAACTACATTTGTCTGTCGATACACTACATTCGTCTGTCGATACACTACATTTGTCTGTCGTTACACTACATTCGTCTGTCGATACAACTACATTCGTCTGTCGATACAACTACATTCGTCTGTCGTTACACTACATTCTTCTATCGTTACTCTACATTCATCTATCGTTACTCTGCATTCGTCTGTCGTTACATTACACTCATCTATCATTACTCTACATTCGTCTGTTTGTCTACGTACTATCTCACTCTGATTATTGAAAGGTAATAGTTCAGTACTAAATAAATTTCTGTGAATTACATGTTAACCTCTGATAGGCAATGAGTGAATAAAGAAAACAACAAGCATGGTTCCAATACGTAGTGAGATGTTGTGTGTTTATATGAATAATAGACTTGTAGCAACAAGCAGGAAGTTTTCATAAATGATCATGTTAAGATACAACTGATTTTAATGATAAAGCTAGAAGCTTCAATGAATAATATTGCTAACATATGTTTGTACC